GAACGGATCAATGTCTTTTAGTGAGCGCCTATAATTCACGAAAATGCGCAAACAGAAAGGAGAACGACGGGAAGGGATTAATAAATATCACACTAAACCAACTAAATTATCTTGTTAGCACAATCGTCGTACTGACAAGGTCCAATTGTGGTAACGGTAAGAAATGTATGCGACTTGATGGACCGAAACATTTCTTACCTATTACAAATATTTCCATAGTCCCCTTTCTCCTTCTTACTTCGCTTTTTCTTCGTTTTCTTCCCTTCATCTTTTTCACTTCATCATTTCCTCTTTATTCTTCAATCAGTTGAAATTTGAAATCCCTCCCACATTTTATTCAAGTACAATCAATCTCTTTATGATTCGTTCATTCGCTTCGATGGCAAATTGGTACTGATGCATGTCAAAGGAGTTAAACCTACCATGGTTTTCATGTACGGGCAATTAAAAGTTTTTGCGGGAGAAACTGCTCACTGAACAGCCAGGTAATTTTCAAAGAGCAACCGTTAAACGGGAACTGTTCATTCCTCTTATGCAGAATTTACGATGATTTACACTAGTAAGCGCAAAAGGTAGGTGTAAAGCAACAACCATTCATGCAATCAACGACCTGTTTACAAGCAACTCTCGAAAGGGAGGGAGGGGGCTATTGGAGACTTTGATAGCAAAGGGCTGCTGTTAGCCTTTGCTATAACTTGAGTTTTGGCTCTGACTCCACTTTCAATCTGAAGAATCGCATTCTGGCCAAAATCTATGACATTTTCATAACTCCCTCACAAGCCCTCTTTCCCAACCCTTGTTTGAGAAGTAAGATTTTAGCCTCTCGTAGAATAAAATTACATCAAAACGAACAACGAATCATAATACAGCAACAAATCATAACGAACAACGAATGATGAATTAAAAAAAACCACGATAATTCTTGCCCAAGAGATATCAGGGTCTTATGACCACACACACACATTGCTTTCTCAAAAAGCATTGGTAAAATTTACCTAGTGACCTCAAAACCTCAAGACAGTCTAGCACTCAGGGCGTTTCTGGTGGGTAAAAATTCACGATACGTGATTTTGGAACCGGTATCAAATTGCTTTTTTTTTAACTTTTACCTTGCGTAGAAACGTCGAAAATAAACACATGCCGTGGCAATAACTTGCATTCTTGTTTTGTGTGGCTGCTGTGAATCCATACCAATTGCATGAATAACTGAAAAAAAAAAAAACAATATCATTTTGTCGAAAACTACAAAAAAAAAATACTTGCAATATTTCATGAAATATGTTTTTCGATAAAGTCTAGGATATCGCTGTGTCGAGCAATTTTATGTGGGACGCAAAGGAACTATCAGCAACGATGTTTTGCTATCACGTTCTGGTGTGAATGATATAATATAGGATATGTATGCCCGGAAGAGAAACCGTGTCCGTCAAATGGCAAGGATGACAGATAACAGATGGACGAAACGAATAATCAACTGATATCTACGATAACACGTCAAAAAAACAACTGGAAGGTCATCATCCAACATGCTGAGCTGATCCGCTAACTCGAATTTATGATCTGCTGTGCTTGCAGAGTGTCTAAAATCGAAGTTAATGGCACGGTTGGGGAATGCTGTGAACATGATCATACAGGTAACGAAGATCTATTT